CTGTCAAGGTCTGCCTGGATCACCCTCCTGTCCTCAGGTGGATGCTTTGCCCCGGAGTTTGGTATCATCAGCGAACTCGGTCAGTCTGCTTCTGACTCCAATGTTGACATCATTAATGAAGATGTTGAACATGGGTCCAAGGACAGAGCCTTGGGGGACCCCACTGGTCACAGGACACCATGACGATTGACTTCCGTCAACCACCACCCTCTGGGTCTGACCACGGAGCTAATTCCCCAGCCAGTGGATCATGGTGGACCCAAGGCTGCAGTTGGCCAGTTTTGCCCAGAGGTGATCTTGGGATATCAGATCGAAGGCTTTTTTGAAGGCAAGATATATGACATCAATCTCCTCTCCCTTGTCCAGGTGATAGGTCACCTGGTCGTAAAAGGAAACAAGATTGGTCGAGCAAGACCTACCCGCAACAAACCTGCGCTGGCTATCCCTTAGGATGTTGGCGTCAGCTGGTCTGTTGAAAATGGCCTCTTTAATAATCTTTTCTAAGACCTTCCCCAGGATAGAGGTCAGGCTGATGGGCCTGTAGTTATCCTGATCCACTTTCCTCCCTTTCTTGAAGATAGGCACCACATTGGCTTTCTTCCAATCCTCAGGCATTTCACCAGAGTGCCAGGAGCTCTCAAAGATCCGTGCCGGGGCTGGGCTATGATGCTTGCCAGCTCTTTGAGTAACCTGGGGTGTAAACCGTCAGGGCCGGCTGACTTCAAGGCGTCCAGCCTTTCAAGGCGTTCCTTCACGAGGTAAGCATTGATGGAGGGCAGGGAATCTACAGTTTAACTGTAGACGTCATAGTCATAGACTGTCATGTGAACCAGATTGGTCAGAAGGCATATATATTTCTATATACATATATACCAAAATGTTGCTCAAAAGTATGTTTGTGGAGTACACCAAGGTTCTTTGAGTAGATGTGGTATAGTTTCATAGATTTAGGGTTGGAAGGGACCTAGTAGATCTTCTAGCCCGACCCCCTGCCAGGGCGGGAGAACAACAAAACCCCAAAACAAGAAACGGGACTCAAATGAGTCCAGCCAGGTAGGCATCCAGCCTCTTCTTAAAGACCCCCAGGGTAGGGGCCAGCACCACTTCCCTTGGAAGTTGGTTCCAGCTCCTAGCCGCCCTAACTGTGAAGTAGTTTTTGCGGATGTCCAATCTATACCTCCTCTTTTATTAGACCGAGTAGTTGGAAACAAGTTCTTTACAAGCTTTCAGACACAGTCACCCTTCTTCAGGCAAAGGAAGTTTCTGCTGTTCTGAGACTCCAAGGAAAGTCATGTGGAATACCTTGGAGTACCTGTGCTAAAACTTGCAGCAGTTTCAGAAAAAGGTAACATGCTTCAATTCTGGATGAACTAAGTGTATGGGTTCCATATGCAAATTGTTACAGCCATACTTAATTTCAAGGTTACTGTTTTCAAATTTGCTCCTTGCTTCTATGTGTTCTGCAAGATAGAAGATGGAGAAAGGACTGATGGGGGAAGCAGAGCAAAGGAACTAACTTACCCTTCAAATTTTTCCCCTGCTGTAGCAGCGGGAGGGGGACAAATTGAAGGCAGATCTCCAATAATTAGATTCTACACCTGGAAAATATTTATAAATTTTCCATAAATAGAATCTAATTTTTGGGGGGGTTGTATAATTAGAATTGTCTTCTATTTGAGTAAATATGGTAATTCTGCAGCTGCTTTTGATCTCTTAGTTTGTGCTTTTTATATTTTATCAGTATAAAATATATCATTACCTTGTTTGTGAGATGCTCTTCTTCCCCTGAATCCACTCAGGATTTAGTCAGTAAAATCTCTCATAGCACATACTCTTCTTTCGCACTTGGCAAACTACAATGACCATCAAACCCTTTCCCCCCTCAGCTGTACTACAAATGAGCTCTCTAAAGCAGTACTGCTTGACCAGCCTTGCTCTTACTTATGCAAAGGATCATACAATTTTTGTAAACTGTAAATATATTGATTCCTTTGTACTGGGATTTAGTCTGTCGGAGGCCACTTCAGACTACAAATGGATCAGTGTTTAAGCTCAAGGCAACTCAACAGTTAGCCTAACTTCAGCTCTAACTTTGAGAGAAGCAATTACTGAGTCCAGTTCCAGACTCAAGGCACAGGAGATACATAAAGGAGGCATAAATGTAAATGCTGAGAATAAAGAACCAGCTGAGGACACCAAGAAAAAGGTGGCAATATTTTATTGAAATTCAAAATGTGTAAGTTCAGATTGTCTCCTACCCCCTTTCTCTGTATCCAGCATGTTGGAACAGTCTTTATATTCACAGTGACAACTCCAGCAAAATCAGAATGCAGTCAGTCCAACCTCCCCCTGCCCAGAGGACTAACTATCCTATGAAGCAGCATGTGTCATTGTGAAATCCAGACACGAGATAGATGGGTATAGTCAGTCTCATCTCAGACAAGGGATACATCTGGTATTAAAAAGCCTGTGACCTGATTGTCCTCAGTATCTAAAAAGAATATCCTTGGAATGTTCATGATTTGGGGACTGTACTAACTGCTCCTAAGAATCCATAGGCTAATTGGGATCTGTCTGGGTCTTAAGGGTCATGAATGGGCAGAAGAAAGAAAACACCATTATGAGGCAGCTCCCTGCGCCCTTTACAAGAGAGGTGTCAAACTCAACCAGACTGCTGAGCTTGTTCAAGATTCCTGCCCCTTTCTCTCTGAGACTATCTTGACTGTCTCTCATAGAAAAGGAGAATGTTGCTTCTGTTTCAGATCCAGGATTTAGTGATACAAAGGCAGCAGCAACAACATAAATTGGCTCCCATTCCAGTTCAACAATGTGGCTCAGGTCAGCCAGGTTGCAAAGTAAAACAATGGTTTCCCATTGCCCATTTGGTATGTGACCTTTCGGCTGGGAATGCCAGGGGAAGGGGAAAAAAATCAAAGTCACAATGGTGGAATGTGGGTATGTGTCTGCCTCAAACCATATCACCCAAAGGACCCAAGCTTAGGATCATGCAGCCATCATCTAGGAACTTTTCCTATCTATTTTTAACAAGGGTTTCATTAAAATATCTGTGCACAAACTTTTAAATGATTACTTGAATCCGAAGTCAGACCTGAAACTGTAACCTAGTGATGAAAAGCTTTGTGTCCCACTCTGACAGCAGGCCCTTTGGGGGAATTTGGGATGAAGGGCTCAGTCTCTGACTCTCCTGGTTCCACTAAGTGATGCTCAGTGAGTTCTGGCAAAACTCCCATCTCCTGAAGGGGTCAGCTTAAAGGACATGCAGCAAGTGGAAGTGATGTGATGCAGTACAGAGCCTCTCATCATTTTAACATGTCACCTAAATCCATGCATGGCAGCACTGTGACAATGTTGAAATGTGCCTGATAGTAGGTCTGTACATGAAAGCCTGTGTACATGCTTGTTACTGCATAACAGCACCTGACTGGGGTTGATGACAACATGGGAGACTCTTGTGACTGTCAACCATGCTGGACACAGGAGGCTTTCAGGAACACATTCTACTGAGGCCAGCCCATACAGTAAACCATCCATTTGAGAGGAGGACCACAAGGAAAAAGGGTCTTTTGTTTTAAACAAATCAGCAGCTGCTGCATTCAGTTGTCCTCCTGGCCCCTCATGACAAAGTGGCAGAGGTTGCACCCAAGACAACAATCTGAGAGCTGAGAGCCTTGTGGGGTGCAGGTCCAGCAGAACAGGATATCTGGCAGTGGCAGCAACATTTGACAATGAGCCAAGCTGCAGCTGCCCTTCTCCCCTGGGCTCTTCCTTTCAGCCAGGGGAATGGTCTGGAAGCCTGTTACCTCTTCTCCATATTCTGCATCTGCAGGCTGAGTGAGGTGAAGCTAGCCAGGAGGTCTGTGACCTCGTCCACCTGCCAGAGAAACAATACAGATGTTACTGTGAGGTGAGCAGGGGAAGGAAAAGAGAGACTTTGATTCTCCAGCAACAGCCAGCCATGAAGTGCCAGCAGAGTAACTGCAAGGGAAGCAGTATTATGGCAATGCCAACACCAAAACCACAGAACCTGTATTAGGTCAAAACCATGCTGTTCCTTGGCTTTTGTGAGCGGGTTTCCATATCCTGTCTAATTCTTCCCCATCTAATTTTAAGCTGCTCAGGTGAAGGGAGCCCCTACCAGCTTCCTGGAGAAATTAGTAGACATCAGTGTCCAAGGTCACTTCAACAATCCATATAGTGGCAATGTACATTTTGCTGGTGCCAGGACTTTGTCCCATACCCTGTACTGCCTGGAAGAGCACTTTAAAAACATACCTTTCTAGAGCTACATAGATTCTGCAGCATAAACACTGCACGCTTCCTTTCATCAGCCCCACAGCGACATGCTTCTTCCTAGCCTTGAATGGAGGAGCGGGGAAATTCTCTGCTCATTTGATCTTTGACCTTGCTGCCAAAACTGCTGTTAAGAGTATCCATGCCAGTGCTGCTTTCTGTGATATGAATGTGCATGTGCCAGAAATCACACAGGCTTCCCTCCCCTCACATAGGTCTGCTACCATAGGATCTGGCAGCCATTATAGTTGGGATCTGATATAGGCCAGCAGCCCAGAGGAAGAAGTGC